GGGGGGGGGGGGGGGGGGGGGGGGTCGGTTATTTTGGGGTTGAGGGCTCGCTAGCGCTTGCCCTCATTGCAATTTTTTGAACGCAACACGGACATCCGTCGAGGTTGTATAGTTGTATCACGGCGCCGTAGCAAACGCGTCCCATTGTTTATCGTTACAAACGAATATAAGTTGAGAGAGGAAAGTGAAAATGACTTCAATTTTATACGTACTTACCTACTTTTGGGCAAAATGAGAGACGACGTTTCTCCATTTGCGACGTTGCAGACTTCCTGAGAAACTTTATTTTTTTGTCGTAGTCAAGCCGAAATGATGCGTAAATTCTCTATGATTTTTCGTATTCGATAGCAACAGATTTGATTCAAAATATATAGTCGTAAAGGATTGTTTCTCTTGGAAGAGATGAAATAAGAACGGAAATAGTGAAACACCGCAATGGAGATACGTGGTTTCTTACTTCAGGCGGTGCGATACGGACATCCATCAAGTTTAAATAGATTCATCAAGTCTCTTTCTCCGCCGATCAACGCGTCCGTCGATCGGCCCAGTTTTAGTTGGTAAGTAGGAAGTCAAAACGCCTTCAATTTTTTGAACGCAACACGGACATCCGTCGAGGTTGTATAGTTTTATCACGGCGCCGTAGCAAACGCGTCCCTTGTTTATCGTTACAAACGAATATAAGTTGAGAGAGGAAAGTGAAAATGACTTCAATTTTATACGTACTTACATACTTTTGGACAAAATGAGAGACGACGTTTCTCCATTTGCGACGTTGCAGACTTCCTGAGAAACTTTATTTTTTTGTAGGAGTCAAGTCAAAATGATGCGTAAATTCTCTATGATTTTTCGCATTCGATAGCAGAAGATTTGATTCAAAATATAGAGTCGTAAATTTGGATTGTTTCTCTTGGAAGAGATGAAATAAGAACGGAAATTTTGAAACACCGCAATGGAGATACGTGGTTTCTTACTTCAGGCGGTGCGATACGGACATCCATCAAGTTTAACGCGCCAGGCGCCACATTCGATACATCGATTGTTCTGCAGCAGCAGTCCGAACATGTNTAATCACATCACCCATACTCCTTAAATTACAAGTCTCCCGATCCACGAGTATTAGGGGAAAAGTCTACGAGAAACTAATTGATCCTGTGATTCAATGCCTTTTAATACATACATTTCTACCAATTTCACTTAATGGATTCTAACCTCTAACTCTTAATTCACGCTCATGCTCATGTTTCGAGAGCGATGCGATTATCAGATTATCTCACAACTCGCACAATCTCACAGACCATCGACAGTGGTAGAAAGTGAGAAACACCTATAAAGAAATCTCATGCTTACTTTTTCGTTTGGCAACATCGTAAAATTCGAGACAGCCTTACATCTCGAAACCTCGACCGATCGATTTGGGCACATTGCCAAAGTTTCGATCTCTCGCTCCACCATGTTGGATTTTTGGAGGTAATGCCGTTGTAGGTAATGTCCTGCCCCCGTCCGAACATGTTATAACCTAAAAAACCACGCTTTCTTTGTTTATGTTTGTTTCTATGAAAGAGACCATCTGACCATCAGTTTCAATGTTGTTGAAGCGTTCATCAGTTGTACCTAATGTTTTATACTTTTTGTAGCTTCAAATTTGTCAAAACTTTTTCTCTTCGCTAAAGTCATTTATGTGTAATTCCGTGTTCCTTTGATTTTCATTCCATTTGTTCATCATTCTTTTCTCTCTCACCAGCAGTCCTGTCCTTATCTGCTCGAGACACACAACTTGGCTTTATATCCTGGTCCTCGTGCAGTTTTTGGGTGAGCTTTCAATGCATTATCCGTCTCTGCTCAAATCCATTGATTGCTTTAAATTGATTTGGGGCTCCCAAGTCTTCCGAACCAATATTGATGACAAAACTACACGAATGCTTATCTCGGTTTTAGTGTTTTAAAATCTCCGCATCTATTTTATTTTTGAAAACGCAACTAAACCAACATCAAGCCTTGAAATTTTTCAGGTAGATTCGGAAATGATTAAAGTTTTCAAGAAAATTTGTGTAGAAGTTTTCGACTCACAAAATAAAGTAGGACCGGTGGTCCTCAAGGGAGTAAACTGAGACTTGCATTTGTGCTGTGTCACCACTAACGTGCCCTTTCTTTGCTCTCTTCTAAAAGTTGAAATACCAATGAATCTATGGCAGAAATATCTCTGTTGCTCTAAAACCTCTTAGGAGGTTCTCTATTCAATGGGCCATACTTCATACTTCTTATGGTCTCGGTACCTACCTCATTATTCGGGTACCTACATCGCAGATCTCCCGCCCCCTTTTAATTTCTGAATGACCACTGTCATCGCACAAAATCGGGTTATTTATTAGTTTCAAGACCATTCTCCTATAATTTTGTGCAAAAATATGTTCTAATATTCCTATTTTAACAAGCGAAAACAAATTTTAAATTAGGTACCCAATATGATCAAGGTAATTTGTTCATTGCAGTATCACCAATGAAATTTCGCTCATTGAACTTCTTTTCTTTTTTTTTGCAGTCTGACAAAGATAGCCGAATCAGAATGGGAGACGGTTGGGGCCGCCAAGGTGAGGATATCTACGATTATTCCAAAGATGATTACATGGCAAGTATTAATGGACCTTTAAGCCATGAAAATCTCCAGAAACTATTTGACTATAAAAATGAAGACATAATCAATGAGTATGTGATTTTTAAAGCAGAGGAAGCTATTAAAACCCTCACTGAAGTGGCTTCCTCAGCAGGAATATCTCCTTCTCAATTCATGAGAGACATGCAGTTCTTAGTATCCCAAAGAAATAAAGAATTAGAAGATCTCCCAAGATCTGAACGTCATTCAAGACCCATTCAAGATAAAAGGTTGTGGGGTCTTCGAAAAAAGTATAATATTGAGACTCTTGGGTACCCATTGGGATCCCAAACGCTCTCTCCTGTTAGATTGTCCATATTGTTTCCTCATTTTTGTGATATTCATCAAGTTCCTCTGTACAGTCTGGAATTCAGCCCCGATCGAATTATTTTCATGTGTCAGCATCCTGAGTTTGGGGGTTTTATTCCAACTATGCAGAACAAAGAACTCTCTCAAAAGGTAAAGAAGGCCATTATTGGTGTTCACCTCTACAGTGTAACTCATTCAAACGGTGAGCATCCTCTGAGAACTTACTGTGTGTTTATGGAGCAAAGAAGACTGAAAAGTCAACTCTCAAACGATCGTCGGTTGCTGTTTCTTGAAAATAATAATATCATCTCTAAACGGAAAATCTTAACACCGACCATGAAAGCCACCATGGAACAAATAGATTTCGATAATTTTGAAAAAGATATTCCTTGGGAACTTGTGCAGATCTAAGTAATACAACCAAAATCAGCTTGATTGTTCTTCAGTTGGCAATCTACGTCAGTCATTTTTTTCTCTTCCCTAAGTCGTATGAGAACCAAGAATGAAGGCATGCATTAATGAATCTCTTGAGAATGGGGTCTTTTTTAAGCATCCCTATTTTGAGTTTTTTTCAGAATTTTTCTTTTTTCCGGAATACTTATATTTTTATCAAAGCTTTTAGTCCAGATAAAAGAAATGTAGCTGCTAATTAATAAATTAAGAGGTACTAGTATAATGGATATATCGACGGTGTAAGTCGGCAATCACATAACTCGTTTTGCGACGTCGCAAACTTCCTGTCATACTTTATTTTTTAAACGGAAAACTACTTAACGGCAATTCTTTAAAACTGCCGTGATTTTTCTTCTGTAGGCAAAGAAAATTCTGTAAAAACATCAAGGAATGATATCAATTTGTTCTCTTTTAAAAAAATAACATAGAGGTGGAGATTTTCAGACACCGCAAACAAGTTATGTGATTGCCGACTTACACCGTCGATATTTTTTAAGAACATTTGTGAATTCAGACTCAGAAACGTATCAACTGTTACTCATAGTAACGTTTTGAGAAAATGTTACTATTAAAATTGATCCCAGCATTCTAAGTCCTAGATTTGTCTATGGCAAGAGCATTTTCCTCTTTAGTACGGCAGTGTTTCATCTGAAAAAACCTATAACTTGTTAGTTATCATTCCAGTAAATGACCTGATGGTAGTTTTAACATAACTTTTGAGAGAAATAGTACGAGAACATTTTGAATATTATTGGTTTCTCTAAAAATCGGTCGCAAAATCAAAATTGTTTAGAAAGTGTCCCTGAAGTAATATTGAAATTTTGCTAGAGAGAAGGAGAAAGTCAAGGACAAAAATCATGAGATTTATGAAAAGGACCCAGCTTACATTATTTTTATTTCATTTTATTTTTTTCTTTAAAGATAGGTCTGGAAGGAGCTGTGTTCAGTCATTGATATACATAGGTTCTATTACTCAATGCAAGAATAATATACATATTGCACAATGTTAAACTTACTTCAATGAACAATAGATCTAAATTATAGATTCAGGAAATTGGGATTGCAATTTTTCCCCCTTTTAAATTTACACAATTTTTTTTCAAGAACAGAAGTTATCAGCATTATACTCGTACATTTTTTTAATTCTGTTGGTTTGAATGTAATGATGATTTTGCCTTTTCGAGGGAGCAAGACTTTTTTTTTTAAGCAGGACTTTAGATAACTTTGCTGTCAGTCTTAATTTGTCCCTATCTGGAAGTATACTAAGTACCTAATTAATGTAATATTATTGCCTACTTGAGATTCACTTATTACCAGTTCTGAAATTTTTTTAAAGTAAAGAAACATTTATTTTTTCCATCAGTGTGTCATTTCTTAAATAATCTCCAATGAAATAACGATCCTTAGCTTCGAAATTCAATGAATCCTTGTCCAAGTACCTACATGTTTACATGTGCAAAAAAAAATTACCCTACATTGGATCTTCAAAGATACCTAAGCAAAATGCAATTGGAAATTGACCAAATACAAAAGCAAACAGTAAATTTGTGGTATTTTTTGTAAGGAAACTTTATTGAAAAATACATTGTAAAATGAGTAGGTATACTTTATTCATTATTGCCTTTTGAGTCATGCCCGTTTGCTCTCAAAATTTAGTATGACTTTTTCTGAACATGAGATTGTACCTGCCGAATTATTCTGCATAACATTTAAGCCGCCATGATAGAATGTCATTTCATAAATAAATAAGGTATGAACAGGTATCTTAAAACGATACAGTGATGTGCCTGTTGCCTTTTAACTACCGATAAATTAATGAATAATGATGCGATGAAAAAGATGAATGAATCCATGATGGAACGATCAACAGCTCAATGTGCAACTGAAGGTTGATGAGGAGGGATAAGTGCTAAGTATTTTCGTAAAATGTTGAATTATCTAATTTTAAAAGTTCTCATTTTCTTTTTCATTGCTTGTCTGGAAAGAAAAGCAAAAGAATAAAGTAGGTAATTTAATTTCTTAATAGACCACCAAACAAGGTACAAATTTAAGCATTCTCACACGAGTGCCCTAATAAATATTTCACGTAAAACACGACTCTGACAACGAAAGTAGCCGAAATTAATTGGTTTCTCACTGAGATATTTAACGTTTTTCGATGCGTGAATTCAATCGCCTTCCGCTCATGAAAAAACAAAACTCTACGTGAGTCAAATCGCAAACTAACCGTTTCCATAACGGTATTTGCGGCTTGGAAGTATGACGATTTCAATATTGGCGCTTCGGCTCAGTTGCCGCACGTGGTTTACACTTCAAACAACACCGGGTATAGGAGGATGGAGGAACCTCACTTGATTAAAAATCCCACCACAATCGCTGTGTGCTAATTGGCTGACGTAGAGTTTCGTTTTTCTTGTTAGTAGACACTTCAACCCACAAAGAATGATTTTAATTCGTATCTAAGTATATATCGACGGTGAAACTCCCAAACCACGTATCTCGTTTGCGGTGTTTAAAAATCTCCGCTCCTATTATTACTTTTTTTCTGAAAGCGAATCAACATCATTCCATGAAGTTTTCACAGAATTTTCTTCGCACAAAGCAGAAAAATCACAGATATTTTAGAGAATGTACGTTGAGTGGTTTTTCTTTAAAAAAATAAATCATGACAGTAAGTCTGCAACGTTGCAAACCGAGATACGTGATTTGGGAATTTCACCGTCGATATATTTACTTGTCTAGTGGTCCATTATTCTCAAGCAAAAATCCTTCTTATAACTTTAGACAGTCCCTTCCATTCGGGAACTATGCAAATAGTGATTCTCTCCATGTGTGATAAATTGCTTGCCATTGAAAATGAAGGCGTCTAAATCCACCGAGAGTTGAGTCCCTCCTATACTAGCGTTCAAATAACGCGGGGTTCGGGGTCGATCACTTTTTGTGAGTTTTTCAAAGGCAACAACGTGTCTCTGTGGTGTTAAGGTGTTGAATTAATTTGGAATGGACTGAACTAAACATGTAGGGACGAAATCGATGGACAAAGCACGAAAGCACGAATCTCCATTGCGGTGTTTCAAAATCTCTGCTTCTATTTTATTTTCCGAAGAGGAATAAGTCAACTATCGAACTTTAAATTTCTATGGAATATTCTGCCCATGAAGAACGAAAATCAAGGAAGTTTCCCAGAAATTAGGTAAGTCGACTAGTTATCCAACGAAAAAATAAAGTATGATAGGAAGTCTGCAACGTTGCAAAAGGAAATACGTGGTTTTGTACTTAGGCCGCCATCGAAATAAACTTTAAGATTGAAATGAATGTGTACCATGCAGGAGTAGTGTTAAGCTCAGCTAATTGCACCTCTTCTCCAGTTAGAATGTTAAAATCGAGAAAACTATATATAGGTGGTTTTGAAATCGGCGTTGATCTTTGTCGAAAAGAGGCACAACTTCAAACCTTTATATTCTTCTCGGATACTTGGCTTCTTTCTGTCAATGTTCGTCCGAATGTCCTCCTTAAGGTGATTCGATGGACGCCATATTTTGTGTCAGAACGCCATGCAATATATCGCATCGAATGGTTCCATTTTTTTCAGCTACTCGTCATTTTTCTCTAATTTTGAGATCGCAATTTTGTTGCCCGGAGACAAAAGAATTCACTTACCAATTCTCACGAACAAATTCAACGTATTAAGGGCGTGGTTTTTTTAGAGGAAAAATATCGCATTCGACATTGATATCGAAACTGCACTCGAATGCAATATTTTTCCTCTGAAAAAAACCACGCCTTTAATACGTTGAATTTGGTTGTCAAAATTGATTTGTGAATTATTTAGCCTCCTATGAGAAGAATGACGAGTAGCTGAAAAAATGGGACCAATCGATGCGATATATCGCATGTCGTTCTGACACAAAATATGGGGTCCATCGAATCACCTTTAAAATTTGGTATCTCTACGCCAACATTTTCAATTTGAAATTCCCTTCTAAGGGTCCAAAGGTAAGATCCAAGATTCCCCTATACTTACGTACCTACACCGTGACACTGTAAGAGTGGACATTCTGGCCGGTTTTGGCGTAAGTATTGGGTGACAAATCGCTGGTGAATTATAATATAAGCTAGGAAGCGCCGAGTTATACTAAGTATCTAACATGCCCCACCCGTACCAAAGTATCCTTGAGGAATAGCCGGTGCACGGGTACTCGGATCAGAATAGTGTGATACTCCAACTCGTCGGAACAAATATCTAAGTAGGTAAGTATTATTGTTAGTGCCCCAACATCTTAAGCTCAATATTGAAAGGACCCACTGAATTTCTTCCTCTTCGAACTACTCTCCGCTACATAAATTCGGCAAAAGAATTTCTAGTCAAACTTGAAAAAGTTTTTCTGGGCTAAAATTTTCCCAAGTAACGTAGGTCCTGAGTAACGTTTAAGTACGTAATTGTCCGCCGTTTGACAGCATTTGCTTTATTTTTTTCTTTCATTCGCTGTTATTATGTAGGTAATATTTTTTCGAAAATAATAGAAGTAGGTCCCGGGGACGTCCCGTGAAGAGGTGGCGGCAGGGAGTTGACGAAGAGATGTTGCGGTGTCAGTTGCGCGATAACCTCTGGTAGGATAGGCATATGTGGCGTTTGGGTGTCGCAGAACTCCAGAGTGCGTTGTAGGAGCGACTTTCTATACATAAAAAAAAGTAGGCAAGGGAAAAAGTGAGGCTATCAAGTGATTTTTTTCCTGAGTGGAACGAGAGGGAGTCAAGGAGCGTGTTACGTAATTTTTTTTAAAGGGATACAGACTTTGCTCTTGGGGAGGAAGTGGGGGGGGGGGGGAGATGCTTACCTATCCTCATAATTCGTCTTTAATATGCCAGAAAAATACTAAATTATCATTTTTGAATTTGATTAAACTCTAAATCGGAAAACATTCAAAGCTGCGGGCTCTGGATAATATAAAGTATAGATGCACACGCGAGTCCCTGGTAAAAATTGGCGATAGGAGCTGCGTTTCAAAATACCATAGGAATTCTTGTAGCAGGCTAAAGAAGACAATAGAAAATCATATAGCTGGCTGTAGAAAGCGGAGCGAATCATTTAGCCGGGCTATACGAAGCGATAAAAAAGTATACAGTCAGGCTATAGTTTCTATCGCCGGACTATACAGTTTATCGTCTGGCTGTTGCTTTTTGGCCATCGGCTTTAAGAGGCTATAA